TATTATTAATTTATTTATTATTATTATTAAAAAAGCCTTTTTTGTTCCTCGTTGAATTTCATACTAGATAATGCCGGTAAGATTAAAAAAATACGCAAAAACTGTCAAAAAAATAATTCAATGAGCTGCAAATTATTGAAGGAATTGGCCGTTTGCCATAAAAATTAAATATATTTAGTTCAAAGTATGTATAACTTCCAAAAAAAATTTGTTTAAGATCGGTGAAGTTGTTTCTGCATAATGTAATTTTCAACTAAACAAATTATGAAAATTCAATTGTATGCCTGTGCCAGAGAATCGATCTAATATATTTCCTGATTTCTTTACCAATGCTGCAAGACCTATATTTTAGTAACTAAAAAATTTTTATTTTTTTTAACACCTTTTTTTTTAAAGATCCATGATAACAAAAAAAAACAATTTTTCTCAGCTTTTACTCCACGTATCATGGTGTTTCTTTGATGAACTGTCGTAATAAAAATGAGTTTCTAATTTATTTATTAGCAAATCTTTAAACAATTTTGAAAACATTTTTTTTCACGTTTAGGTCTATAATGAAACTGACTATGTGGAATACAAGAAGAAGAAACAAATAAAATCAATAACATGACAAAAAACAAATTTCATTGTTGTTCAGGATTCCCATTTAAAATGGAACAAAGTTATCAGTTACAAATAAGCTAAACTAGTATTTTAAGAATATCATAGAAAAGTCAATATCAGCCGTACCACGTCCAGTTAGTCCAGGAACTGGATGATTATAACTTGAATAATCGATTGCAGTTTTGTGAATGGGCTTTAGGTAAACTTGAAGAACAAAACGATTTTTTTTATAATATACTCTTTACAGACTAATGTACTGTAATCGCATGGTGAATTCTGTTTGGATAATACCAATAGACCACTAACACATGCGGATTTTAAATGTAGATGGTATATAATTGGACCTCATTTTTTTATGGAAACAAAACTAATAGTTTAGTCTATATTTTGTTTACAACGATTGGTCAGAAATGATAAAAAATTTACCACTTACACTGATGCAACGCTTGTGACACCAATAAGATAGGGTACCTGCGAATTACTGAAGATATGTGGAGGCTGCAAAAACACTTGCTCACTCAAGCTGTACCGATTACCTTACGGAAGGATCTTCTTACCTTCAATAAATGATATGGATCTGAATCTATCAAAAAAGTAACTTGAAAAGTTTTGGTGTAAAATCCAGGCTAATTCAAGTAAGAGGAGTTATATTGAGGATTTACACAGAACGCAATCTATTGATTTATGCTTTTCAACGAAAACGTGAAAAACTTCCACTAGTTCAATTAAATCAATTTTCTTTCATCTTGGAATTTTCGAGAAATATTCAACACGTCAAAGATATCAACACTGTCGTAGCTCATACTCCCTGATCTAAGCTGCTCCCACGATCCTTGTTTACAAATTGTTTTTGAATCTCAAGAAGAGGACGGAGAGCTCAAGAAAATCATTGAAGAAAATTCTTTTCTTCACATTGAACGACTGCCGACTCCTGGATCTTCACTTACTGTGACTTCGACCTCTTATTACTCTTTTACTCCGTTGTTGTTTTCCATCAGGTTTGTAACTTGAGCCACCCAGCCGCCAACGTTTCTCTCATATTCATCAGCGACCGCATCGTTTAGCCTTCCATGAATAAAGATTGTTGAAATTAGGTTCGCGCTTGGAATGAATGTGAACTATTACAAATTTCTCATCATGTTGGTGTTACTCTTGGATCGTTCAAAAATTCCGACACAGTGATTTTTTCAGCTCCATATTGATCTCATTGTTCCGCTCTGTCCTGGATAATTTTATTGGAGGGTTTGCAGAAAAATAATATTCGCTCCACGAAATAGTGAAAGAATCAATTTTTATATCCTTGGGATATATATTTATACACAAAATTCTTACATTTCGCATTAATTTGTGTGGCGAAAAGGTCAATCTCCGGTTTACCAAAAGTACCTGTATGAGTGTCGAATGCGATTGCGATGTATTGTAGAGGAAATGACTTTACCATAGCTGCCACAGCAATATGTAAATTTTCTTGTAAAATAAATTTCTGTTTTATGCCATCTAAAATATTGATAAAATGAGAAAAATAAAAAGCGTTGCTCTAAACGGGCGACGACTTTTAAGCTAGCGTTTTTTTTTGTTTCTTCGCACTAAGTTATTTTTGAAAAATTGATCACAAATGCGTACCTTCAGTTGTTAGAGTGAATGAAAACAATAAGTATAGTAGTATTACAGAACATTTTTCTACGTATAATTGCTTCATTTGTTTAACTTTGCGAATTTAGTGAGTCCCTAAGAAAAATGTTTGTTCTGGTACAGTTGTCGAAATATGTATTTATGAGAAAATGGAATTGATTAGCCTTTTCAAACGTAATTCAATTTGCCTTTCTGACATTTCCTATATAACACTGTCATAACTAAAATTGCTTTCTGTCTGGTTATGTAATGTTCGTCGATAACGAGTAATTATGTATGTACATATTAACTAGACTTCAATGGTGGATTCTTTGATATAATTATATAAGATTTGGAGAAATTTCGGAAAGAAGTTCTGTATTTCTATTATGAAGTGGTAAACTCGGAAAAATTTTGTATTGCTAATAATTTATTTACCGCTTTCCATGAAATAAAAATGAGACGAAATAGTAGGTAAGAAATAAATAGTAATAGCTATTGACGTGGTGACGTGATGTAACTGATACGGAACAACATCCTGAACAGTAATTAGGGGTTGCACCATAATTCTCTTGGTTGGCATTTGTGTGAAAAATCAATAAAAGCAAAATTTACCGAAAAGTGCCTCATTTTGATATATTTTTATAAATAATTCCAGATGGAAGTCTCCTAGANGTTCTTGTCGTAAACGAAGACATTTTTTTTACTTACGCATTAGGTCGGGGATTTGTGATAACAATAATTTTCATAGCTTCGTGTATATATTCAAGAAAACTTGGACTAATTGTATCTTTCCCCCAATTAAATATAAAGTAGAAATTTTTGCGTATAAAATTGTTAAAATGTATCTGAAATGTACATATCCATAGAAAAAGTATTCATTGGTCAATCACTTAAAAAAAACTGAGGAGTACTACATGGACGTTATTTTACCTCTACTAAAATGTGCTCTGAAAGACGATTATTACAAAGAAACAATGTTGCAAGCTCCTCATATCGGATATATTTTTCCTTGAGAAAATTTAAATACTGAAAGAATCAGAACAAAATTATTTGTTAAAAATTATTTAAATAAACAAATACAAATAAAAAATGCTTTTATTAGAAATTCACTTTAATAGAAAAGTCTCCAACTGTTTCTATCTGAAGTTTTCTCCAGAATATCTAACTGTAAATATAAAATATGTAATTGTTGATGGCTATGTTTTCTTATTTGTTTAACTCTATGGTAATTTTGTGGGCTTGTTTATAGGTTTGGTTAATTAATAAATTACAAAATGCTAAGAGCTATTTTTAATAAGCTTAAGCGTTGACTTTTGGTGTCATTGTGCATTTAAATAATGTTGTCATCTTAAAGATGATTGTTTTCTGTACAATCATACGTGTAGGGTAGGATCAAAATGTAGTAGGACTGAATTTCCGTAGTTCGAAGGAAGCGGAGGAGGGGGATCGGACCACTTGGGTGTGGTAGTGGGGAGCCTTCCGAAGAGATCGATATTTTTCCCAGTCGCCTGTGGGCAAGTAGAAATAAACATGTCGATTTTCATGAACTTTTGTTACGAAGTGTTGTCGCGATCCAAGATGGAAAAAAATCTCGAGCAGCGCTACGCTATCAAATTCTGCGTCAAATTCAGGAAACCCGCAACGGAGACCCTCGAAATGATTAAGAACGCATACGGAGATGATGCTTTGAGCCGCTCAACAGTGTTCGAGTGGGTCCCATATGGTGTTCCGTGGAAGGGTCATAAAATATACAAAATACTGCGAAAACCATTCGTTCTGTAATTAATCGTAACAACCAGTTCAGTAAGGAAATGTCGAATCCTGATGGTTCGTTTTGTGGTAGAGACGAGAACTTTTTTGTGAAAAAAGTATACCTAGATGCCAGGTGAGAGGATAGGATATTGCAGCGGTCGGGGAACTTTTTTAATCATTACCCCAAAATATTTTTGTGTAAGTTGATATTACCCCATGGCGAAGAGCAAAAAAAAAACGAAATCGCCTTTTTTTAGTATCCAGTTGTCTTTTGGATGGTAGTGTTAATGATAAGCTGAATTTTCCAAATTTTGTTCGGCCATTCTGTTGACTTTCTTGATTCTACTCTTAACAGATTGGTAATGGTACGCATGTACCTCTCTACTTGCCCGTTTGACCGATGAGCGCCTGGGGTAGTTACATGTAGTTCTATGCCGAAGTGTTCATTGAATGTTTTAAATAATTTGGCGGTAAAGTTGGTTCCTGTGTCGTGGATTATTTTACTAGGGGTTCCAAATAGGCTTACAAAGTTTGAGAGGTTTTTCTTTGTTTCTTCTGCGGTGAGAGAAGATTGTGCAGTGGTCCCAGACAGTTTGCATGAACTGTGTGAAACGGTTCACTGGGTTTTGGAATGGAAGTAAGGAAGCCTTGCTTAGGTCCGGAGTGGTTTTTGCGCACAGCACAAAGTAAGCAATGTGAGATGTATTTTTTGACATATCGCTTCATATTGGGAAACCAAAAATATAATTTGAGCGATGATAAGGTCTTTCCCCAGCCTATGTGAGCTTGGTCGTCGTGAAATATTTTTAAAAGGTTATGTCTGTTGTTTGAAGGGACAAAAAGTAATTGTGTGGGTTTGGTGTTTTCTTTGGACATTAATAATCGAAACAGAGTGCCTTTTTCAAATATATATTTCCGTTTTGTCTCACTGTCGCCTTTTTCCAGAGATTTAGAGACTTCATTACACTCCTTATCATGACTGAGCAACAGTTAGCCAATTCTTAAAATTGACAGGGTATGAGTTTATTTGATTAACGGTTTCAACGGGATTTCTGCTTAGAAAGTCGACATGAGAAATTTCGGAGCCTTTACGATAGACTATTTGAAAATTGAAATCCTGCATGTATGCCCACCATCGGGCAGTGCGGGGTTTTAAATCTTTTTTGTTAGCCGTTAGTTTAAGGGAATTACAATCTGTAATTAGGGGAAAATTGATTCCTAATAAATAAACTCTGAAGTTATTAAGGGCCTTCACCACAGCCAAGGTTTCCAGCTCGAAAGAGTGGTATTTGCTTTCGTCGGGGGAAGTCTTTTGTTTTTGCATTAGAATGGCACCGAAACCGAGGCTACTGGCGTCAGTATGCAATTGAGTCTCCAATGTAGGGTCAAATATGGATGGTAATGGTTTTTGTGTAAGGATATCAATTACATACTGGCGTGCCTTTTCACATTCTTTGGACCAGATAAATGGGACGTCGTTTTTCGTTAAATATGCGACTTTGGTGGAAAACGCCGGTATGAATTTCCGGAAATAGCTGGCCAAGCCAATGAATTGTCGGATTTGTTTGACACTTTCGGGAGTGGGGCTGTCTTTAATAGCCCTGACTTTTCGCAGATATCTCGCGACCTAAATAGGTGACGGATTTCATTAAAAACCGACATTTATTGATGTTGATTGAAAATCCGGCTTTTCTTAAAGCTGAGAGGACTAATTTTAGCTTTTCAAAGCCTTCTTCTATTGACGTGGAGGGTATTAAAACATCGTCCAGATAGACTAATGCTTCATCGAACTTCCTAGCGCAATATTTATGGCTCTTTGAAAACGGCCGGTGCGTTTGCCAGGCCAAAAGGCATTCTTAGGTACTCGAATTGGCCGTCAGGTGTCACAAAGGCAGTTTTTGGAATTGATTCTTGGGCTATTGGGATTTGGTGGAAGCCCGAGGCCATGTCTAAGGAAGTGAAGAATTTTCCTTTTCCTAAACGATCCAATTGATCGTCTATACGAGGAAGAGGGTAGCGGTCTTTTAGCGTTATTTTGTTGAGTGCACGATAATCCACGCATAGACGATCTGTTCCGTTTTTTTTTTAACTAGTATGACTGGGCTGGCAAAAGGATAATTGCTTTCGCGCACAATGCCGTTTTGTATTAGGTCTTCGATAATATTTTGTAATTTGGTGCGTTCACTTTCAGACATACGGTACGGGTGATGGTAAATAGTTTTATTTTCGGTTAAAGTTATTTTTAATTCTCCACTAGTTACTGCCTGAACCTGATTACCGGAAGTGAAAAGATCATGGAATTCAGAAAGAACATTACGCAGTTTTTGTTTACCCTCCTCGTCTGCTAAGTCCGTAATTATGTTTTGGTCATGTTTCATTAAAACATTGTTAATTGGATTTTTTGGAACAATTTTCTGAATGTTTTTGTCCTTAACCAGTGCTACGTTATGCTCATAAATATTTTCTCCAATGACAATCTCATGATGACAATTATCATTCGGTATAACAACAAGGTCAAGCTTTACTTTAATGTCGGCGAATTCTAACAGAGCAGCGGTAACATAGAAAGCATTGTATACAGTCCCGTCAAACCAGAGCCGGGCAAACTTTAACTTCGCAGGATCCGCAACATGAGGTTAGTTTGAGTCACTCCATACCCTTCTATAAGTACGAGAGAGTAAGCAGTAATAAATAATTTTGTTATGTCTTTTTCTTCTCCCTTGTGGAAGGGCTTGATATGGGAGTGGTCCCATATCAAGCCCCTTCATCCCGTAGACGAGCGAAGCCACTCTCGCAACTTAAATACCTACGAAAATTTTCGTTACTACGTTCGCAAAACTATTGGATTTGGCTATGGAAGAGGGGACTCACCTACGAAATAGAAGGGATAAGAAAAGGAAAGAATCATCTCACTCGCACTCGCAGGATCAATGAGGAGCTACTTGATGATCACTCGGGATGCAAAAGATCCGAGTTTGCCCGGCTCTGCGTCAAACCACTGCAAAGGCGTGATATGAAAATTTTTTATGAGTTTTAATTTATGAACCAATGACTCACTTATTAAGGAACATGTTGAGCTAGTATCGATTAGGCAATTTGTTTTGTAACCGCAAATGGTAATGGGAGATGTTTTTAATCGCTCAGTGTGCGGAGTTGATAAATTAAAAAGAACATGTTCCTGTTTGGCTTTTTTATCGCGTTGTTGATACGACATTCTTTTATCGTTTTCGGTAAGGTTTTGTTTATTTTTTCGGCGAAAACAATTCTCAATAGTGTGGCCACTTTGTTTACAATATCTACATATATGATCTGTTTTTGAATTTCTTGAAGGATTTTCAAAATTTGTAGGGTGTGTGATCTCTGCAAATAGGACCGTTTTCTCAGAATTGGTTCATCAACCGACTTTACAATGGAAGTTTTTACATAATTTGATAAAAACGCAATCAGATCACTGACAGACATAGCACCACAATTAAATGCTGCAGTTCTCACGGCAGGATCGTCAATTGAATGTGCGATTATTTCAATTAAATCGGAATCGGACCAATTTGCGCGTAAACACTTCAGTTTTTCGAGTTTTACTCGGGCATACTCTACATAACTGCGTGCATCGGAACTTTGGTAGTTCACTGCGTCAGTCAAAAGTCTCCCCAAATTTTTTTGTTTGGGAAAAGAAACGGAGAAATCCAATTTAAAATTTTCCCAAGTCTCCTCGGAGGGCTGCCACGCAGTAAACCACCTTAGTGCAGATTTTAGTAAAAAAGGGCCAATTCTACTACAGTTTCTCTGTCCGACCATCCAAATTCATCTTTATACCCTTCAATTTTTGACAACCACACCATGCTGTCCGTGTTGTCCGGATCAAAGCTAGGCAGGGATAAAGATGTAGGTGTTCTGGGGGAAATTTGAATAGGGGAAGCAACTGATTGATCATTCGTACGCCTCTGAAGGTCTTCCAAAACTGTTGCGATTGCTCCCAGCGATCTGCTCACCTCTTCCATATTTCTCTCTTTTTTTTCGCACATTGCAGAACTGCACGTTTACCCCACACCTGATGTTAGAGTCTCAAATTAAAGTTTTAATTTTCCCGCCACACTAAATACGGTCGACTTTGTCAAACAGGTATTCTCGAGTGATCCCCTCAGGGACCATCGGTTCCTGTGTGAGCGTCGAAAAGTAGCGGCTGCGCAATCATGGCATCCAATGCTTCGACTCGAGTGACACACTCGAGTCACGCGATATGAGCGGCAAATTTCAAATTTGTCAGAGCATATCTGACAATACAATCAGCAGATACTTGCAGTGAAGAATCACAACTACGTTTACAGTGAGCAACAAAATACTTTCTCCAACGATATAAAACAAATTTGGCTTCTGGATTGAATGCGTTAAACAAAAAAAATACACATGTTTTCCTCTTCTAAGTAGGTTTCTCGAAGAAAACGAGTTATCGAATCGGTTGATTCAAATTTAAATGACATTTGGAGCGCGGCGCTGTACGGGTAAAAAAAACATGGACGGTGGGCGCGAAGGAAAAGAAAAGCTTAGAAGCGTTCGAACTGTGGTGATGCCGGCGAATGTTGAGAATACCGTGGATAGAGAACGTTAGAAATAAAAAGGTATTAGAAAATATGGGTGTTGTAACCACATTTTACTTAATATTCGCAAAATTCTATTCCTAGAATTATTGTCTACCAGCCTCTTCGACATTGGTTTTTCCCGTGACGTCGCACCCTAATTACCTTGTCCACCTACCTGATTTACCGGACTACAACCCAAACTTGCACACAACTCTCTTCTGTCTATTTTAACTTTCACCAATTTATTTATTTAATTTTTTTTTTCTACTCTTGTTTCATCATTTCTTATAGCACTTTCTTATGTTCTAATCTGATGCTTCTTTCTTTTCCTTNTTGGGGCTGCGCCCTTCCCCACCGCCTGAAACCCTTGCAAGGCACTTACATGCGGATTCTTCGCTCCGCATTAGACTACCCCTGGTTCGTCAGAAACACACAAATTCTGACCGAAACCGGTTTACCTTCTCTCCCTGAGGCTGCAATCACATTCGCGGCAAATCTCCGGGCCACAGTGTCAGGCCATGCCAATCCCACCATCTCGGCACTCTCCAACTACGCACCGAAACCGAACGACCGTTTCCGAAGGCCCTGTCACCTTCTACAATGAGCCGCTCCCTTTCGCTCACTTCTTGCTCCCTAGTTTCGCTTTTTAGCGCGAGTGTCCATCCAGTACATCAGAGATGGACCACCTACTTCGGTTTCCTCCCCAACACTCCCCTCAGTCCACACTACTAACCCATTTCCCATCAAAACCCTATCCTTAATCCCCAGCTTTCCACTTTTCTCCCGGGGATGAAGAATCCACAGGGTTTATCTCCCCGCTCGAGGAGGGGTTTTAGTCGGTAAAAATCCGACACTACCTCCCTTCAGGGGGTGTCTTTTGAAGATTTCCCCTCCTCGAGCATAATCTAAACAAAAAAAAAAAATTCGGAAGACAGAGAAGATCTTTTCCTAGCTCCAGCAGCTACCTTCTCTTACTAGCTCTAGCATCTACCTTTTTGCCTAATTTTATTAGTTACCCCTTTGACTTCCCAAACGGAACCAGTTGTAAATAATATTTAATAATCAAATATTCCGCTATGTTGCGGTTCTCTTTTTTTCTTGTATAATATGTAAATAAATCTGTAAATAGAAGCTACAGTGTTGTTCATATCATGGGAGAACAGAGGGCTCTATGGAAGTTAATAAAAAACAGGAGAGATACGTAGATTGGTAGAACACCTTCTCAGGCATGAAGGTCTAGTCAGAGACATATTAGAGGTAGAAACAGGAGTTAAGATGAAAAGGGGTAGATCTAGATTAGATTACTGTTTGCAAATAGTTAAGGATGTAGGATGTTTTAATTTTAGGAAAATACGAAGATTAGCTCAGGATAAGAAAGAGTGGAAGTACATGTCCAACCAGTCTTAGGACTGACGATCCTATGATGAAGCACTTTTATTTCAACATAATGGATCGAATTTAAAGACGAATATCCTGCAGTCTTTGAGAAGGTTATTGCGGTTCCTGATTTTGTTTGTGTTGATTTACATATTGCAGACGAGCTTTTTAGTTTACCCCTACACATAACAACAAATTCAGAAGTGGACTGGATGTCGCTTCGGATATTCTTATTACCCATTAAAGGTAAAAGTGGAATTCCGCCAAAAAAGGAATGGATTAGAAAGGGTTTCGTAGCAATATAAAATTAGGAACCGTAGAGGATAGAATATTAATTCAAAAATTAATATTTTGTGAAATATAAAATAGATACCGTTGCGATAGGGGCGATAGGGTTTACAAGCGACAGAGATGTGGGGTAAACTTCTATTAAAATTTACATAAAGAAAATCTCTACGTATTAAGCAGGTTATTAATTTTTAATGTTGTAACTTGTTAAATCTTAAACTTCTCATTTGTGTCAAATCTTATAGTTACTTTCATTCNAAGTTTTAATTTTCCCGCCACACTAAATACGGTCGACTTTGTCAAACAGGTATTCTCGAGTGATCCCCTCAGGGACCATCGGTTCCTGTGTGAGCGTCGAAAAGTAGCGGCTGCGCAATCATGGCATCCAATGCTTCGACTCGAGTGACACACTCGAGTCACGCGATATGAGCGGCAAATTTCAAATTTGTCAGAGCATATCTGACAATACAATCAGCAGATACTTGCAGTGAAGAATCACAACTACGTTTACAGTGAGCAACAAAATACTTTCTCCAACGATATAAAACAAATTTGGCTTCTGGATTGAATGCGTTAAACAAAAAAAATACACATGTTTTCCTCTTCTAAGTAGGTTTCTCGAAGAAAACGAGTTATCGAATCGGTTGATTCAAATTTAAATGACATTTGGAGCGCGGCGCTGTACGGGTAAAAAAAACATGG